CATGATGTCTTTAAGAGATATGACCCACATACAGAAAACCACTCAGAGAAACCAGAGTAAAAGTTTAACAGGTTTATTAAGGAGTACAGTTGGGTTGGATTCAGGGAAACCGGAGCTGGTGAACCGGAACTGGAAGTGAGAAGGGAAGTTCACAGAGGTTAGTTCAGGGTCCGTGGGAACATTGAAAGACATCTTGCGAAAACAGAGACAAACGGGACTCCTGTTTGCGGAGAAAAGTTTCTTCCCAGAATACAGTCTTTGTGGGTTTTTCCAGAGATTGAGGGGCTCTTTGGAGGGTGGACAGGGTTTGGACGGGACGTATGGAGATCAATCCCCTGCTCAGTGTGAAACTCAAACAATCCATCCAGGGGAAGAAGGCCAAACATCCGGTATGCAGGATGACTTTCTGCTGAAAGGCAAAAGACAAAACATTAGACTCAGAGAAACAAAAGTCTCAGTTAGACTCAGCTAAACTCAGCTTAGCTAGAGTAACCAAAAGTGGCAAACACTCTGGCGTCAAGGTAGTGACAGTCCACCACTCAAATACTCCTCAGTGATGAGCCAACCAGCCGCAGGTGTGGAGGAGGACCAACGAGGACAGGGTACCACCTGGTGGTGGGGGGAGAGAAGAACACCAAAAACACAACCCACACAAACTGGATTCCTAACATAAATGGGTGCACCGCAAGAAAATAATTTCCTTCTAGGGATTACTGAAGTAATTCAGATTGGGATTATTTTACCATTTAATCTCTCTTTCCAGAGGGAAAATAATGGTGTTATAGTTTACTGATTTTATCACTTGGTGCATTCATACCAAACGCTAAAACCTGTGAAAATATCCCCAGGTTTGTCTGCTTCTGCTTGTTTTGAAATTTTCCTGGCCAGTGAAAGCAGCCTTTGATAGAGTGGGTCATTATATCCTTTAATCTGGTTTGGAGCTAGGGTTGGGAATTGATAGGATTTTTCACGGTTCTTATTCCCTTATTGATTCTGTGAAACGATTCGATTCCTCATCGGTTCCCTTATCGATTCTGTGAAACAATGTACTTGGTAAGTGCACGGGGACATTCGTCTACCTTCTCCTGGGACATTCTTTGTTGCCTGCCTCGGTGAAGACAGAAGACAGTGAATCGGAGCTGCTAGCTTCTGAGCCAGCCAGGCTACGCTTCTCATTACAGGCTTCAAAATCTAATGGAGAAGGCATTTGTTTAATGAAAAAGCATTACTTTTCAATTTCGGGAAATAAACTCATTAAACTTACAATAAACTCATCTTTCCTAATTTACATAAACGAGCATGACCTTTCTCTCGATCCCTGAACTGTTGAGCAACTACGTAGCATGTTTAAGAACCCCAAAGAGAGGTAAGAAATTGGTTTATTTCCAGAAATGGCATACGTTTTACTAGGAACCACATTAAACCACATAAAACTAGCTACTTACCACCAGAGATGCCATCCGTGCTGGTCGTAACTTTAGCTTCTGTCCGGAAGCATCAAAAACACAGCATTCGTTGCAATGTATGCCATGTTGTGTGCACACGTTTTTCTGCATGTTGGATGTATTTCCTCCCGTGGATGCAAATGCCATTTTACATCCAAACTTTCAATTTTTACCCGATGGGTCGCCATTTTTTTTGTTTTGCTTTTCTAGACTTACGCCTGGTCACGTCGTACTTGTTTACTAAATGCCGTGTGCGTAACTTACTTAAAAAAACATGACATAAGTCGTGCTGCCCAGCGCTAGGCTCAGGTGCTGCCTGAAATCGTTAAGAGGACCATTAAGCGAGCTGCCAAATGCTGCCATGGAAATGGAACACATGGAACCGGTTCTGAACATGGACTGGTTTTCGATTCCCATCCCTATTTGGAGCATTGGGTGAGGATCCGAGGAAGAGCAGTGCAGTGGTTCAGATCCTTTCAAAGTCATTGAACATCCTCGTCCTCCAGTGCTTCTATTTTATATGGAGTTCCTCAGGGTTCTGTATGAGGCTCCCTTCTCTTTACTCTTCATCTGCTCCCACTTGGATCCTTAGGAAACACTTTGATGCACACGAGAGTCAGATCTCCTGCTGAGGCGAAACAGAAACTCTGTTGAATCTTTTCTGAAATGTTTGGATGATGTGAAAGCATGGATGGCTTTAAACTATTTAAATCTTAAAGGAAAAAAAAGATAAAAGTGATTTTTTTTTGGAGGCACTTCAGAGAGCCTACCTTTACACCTGGGCTATCTGGATAATTTTGTAAAACCAATGGCCACAAACTTAGGTTTTAAAAAGGACAGCCATTCTAACTTTGACAAAGTAAAGCTGTTGTCAAATCCTGTTTGTCCCTACAAATACCCTACAATATTAAGTAAGGAGTTTTGTAATTTCCCAGCTCCAGTGAAGGCAACACATGCATGAGGCTATGAACAAAGAGGAATTTTCTTGAAGCGGCACTCATCCATGTTTTATTGTCTCTCAGTGCTTATACCTTTTAGAGTTGTCACAGAGGAGAGTTGGCATTAAAGAAAGAAGGAAGATAATATTTCTCCTATGCTGTGTGGCAGTGGACAGAAAAAGCCACAATGGAACAGGTAAACAAAGAAGGGATTTAAATCTGTTATGTTTTCATAAGTAGCTTTGCCTCGTCTGTTCCTGTTTGGCTGTGACACCATCCTGGAAAGAAACATCAGCTGTGCTGCTTTCATCAACACCCTTGTTTATAGATGCTGTAGATTGGCCTGTTTTCCAGTGTGGTCCTGTTTCTCTGACCGTGACTGAGTGGATGTGCTCTCTTCGTCCTCTGACATGGGAGCTGCCTTGGAGCTCGTCTGCCTGGCTCTGTGTTTCCTGGACGGGGCCGCCTTTTACAGCTGCTTTTTGTGTCTCTGCTTCTGTCTCCTTGAACCCCAGTCGGCCTCAGCAGATGGCCGCTCACACTGAGCCTCGTTCTGCTGGAGGTTTCTTCCTGTTAAAAGAGAGTTTTTCCTCTCCACTATCGCTACAAGCACGCTTAATGTGAGGGATTGTATTTGAGTCAATAAGTCAATGCAATCAACTGGTTTTCCTTAGATAGAAAACTTTGCATCAATTTGACTGTATGATCTGGTTGAACTGTAAAGTGCCTTGAGATGACATGTGTTGTGAATTTGGCGCTATATAAATAAACTGAATTGAATAATTCTGTATTTGTTTAGTGACACCATCTTCAGCGCACCGTTACCATCTGATCATAGTGTGCTGTGGTTAAACCTCCCACACGCTTTTCAATAGGTGTGTGGTGCGCTTTAAACTTGGAGGAACTCTGCTCTGTCATCCATCTTTGCTCCTAGCTCTCGTGCTCCACTCAGCAGGTCGATGCTCTCTCTTCATCCTTTTTGCTCTCAGCTGTCTCTGCACTCAATACTTAATAAACTTTATGTTCTTCCACCTCATGAGACCTTCTTGAAATACTTGTCTTTAATTCCACTTTTTTATCATTCGATGTAGGATGTTGGTTAGGATGTGTGAAGGACCGGCACTGGCTCTGATGGAGCTCTTTTGTTTGTTTTATTTTGTAAAATTTTTATTTGATTTGTGTTTATTTGACTGTGTCTGTGTTGCATTCGTCAGTGCTAGGAAATAATAAAACTTCCTATCATTTAATATTGTGGAAAAAAATCTGCTGCTGGAGCTGTGAAGGAAGGCCAGGAGATGCCACTGGTTTGGTTGTTAAAGTCCATTTGAATCCCAGCAGAACCACTGAAGGTCCGATTGAAATCTTCTAGCAACACGTGTTGTTTGTCACCAAGGATCTTAAAGCTGTAATGATCAGGAAGGCCTCAGGGTCAGATTCCCATCCGTTTCCCAGTTTAGTGAAGACAGCCAACAGGATCATGGGGACCCTGATCCCATCTAAGGTACCAGATCTGTTTGGACGGGTCATCATTAAACAGGCTACCAACATTCATTTGGAGACAGAACATGAGCTGTCCTCTGAGTGTTTGATTGAAGTCAGGGAGAAGATCCAGGGTTCCTTTATGGAAACACAATTGTAATAAACATTCATTTACTCCTCCTTCAATCCAACTAGGAAGCGACTAGTCGGCAGGAGATGAACAGAAGCCAAGATAAATGCTGGGATGTGTTTGAAGACTTTTCCTCTGAACTTTTTCTCATCTATTTCTTCTTGCAGTTGATGCTGCTTGCATTTTTCTGGTTCTGGATTGTGTTGCAGCTCTGCTCTTTGTCCAACACAGATTTCTCCTGGAGCAGACTAATAAACACACCTTGATCTGGACCTTCACACGTCATTTGAACATATTCTGGTTCTACTTGGTTTACTACTTTAACTTGATAATTTTTCTGGGACTTTAGCTTTCAGTCAAATGATTTTTCTACATTTTTATTCATTATTTTAGTTTTAACTTGTGTTTCCAGTTAGCCTGGGTGCCAGTCCGAACTTAGTCCCGCCCACAAGGTTTGAGTTCGGGGAAGTTCGGTCTGGCTCTGCTCCATAGTAGCGCGAGTATTAAAGCCCACTGTCAGGCGATCCAATCAAATCGTCAGGGCGGGCTTTATACGATGATGGACAGATGATCAAGAGTAACGTTATCAACCACGTGACCAAAGCGCGCTTGGGTGACAACAATAATGGCTGCCGCTGGAGAGTTTGGGTGAGTAGATTCTGCTATTAGGTCTGTTCTAGAAGATATCGACAGCAAATTAATTTTAAAAGAGGAACAGAGAAACGCGATCAAGTCTCATCTTCTTATTCTAGGCGTGAAACTGCACGCTTTGATTTTTGTGGACAACAACTATGCCTCGCTTAACATACGTCACGCACTCCGTTGCTCTTATTGGTTGTAGGTCTATCCAATTGAGTGCAGAGGCATTTTTTTCCTGGTTCGTTCAAAACACGCCCCATAATCACAGCTCTATGGAGCAGTATCAGACTCATATTCTGACTAGAATTGAGTCGGACTACGTCAGGCTAGTTTCCAGTTGCTTCAACACATCTTTTATTCTTTATTCAGATTGAAGAGCTGCCGGTTGTCAGAGATCAGCTGTGCTTCTCTGGGCTCAGCTCTGAAGTCCAATCCCTCCTATCTGACAGAACTGGAACTGAGCAGCAACAACAACCTGAAAGATGGTGGAGTGAAGCAGCTCTGTGGTTTTCTCCAGTCTCCCCTCTGCAAACTACAGACATTGAGGTCAGTGACCATGCTTTAGTTTTGTGCTGATATTTCTGATAGTACAGTTGTGTTTTCAAGTGAACAAAGCTCATCTTGAAGTCATTAAACGCTGTTCTGTTTAAGATTAACTAAAGATTGTCCCGTTTTTTGGGGATAAACTTTACTAAACTTCCTCGAGAAAGAGCAGCAGCATTTCTCCTTAGGCGCTCAGGTTCTGCTGTCGCTGCCGTCGGGCAGCAGAGACCCAGTTCTGCTCTGTGAGAAACTCCATCAGTCATTTAGGCCTTTGGGTCTGCCGTCTCCAGCTTTGCTTTCTATGTCAGAAAATGAACTGAAGGCTCCTTCAACCCACCTCCAGCCCCTCCTCCACCTTTGTAGCTAAAGCTTCATCAGAGTGTCATTCCTCCCAGACTCTTACCGTGTTCCCCGTCTAATCTTAACAGGTCTGGCAGAAGACCGCCATGTTGAGCCTGGTTCTGCCAGAGGTTTCTTCCCAATTGGGAGTTTTCCCTCTCCACCGCTTTCTATGTCAGGACATGAAATGAAGGCTCCATACTTAAAGCTCTCAGGTTCCTCTGAGGGATTTCTTCTTGGTTTGTGGACGGAGATTTTTGTCGTGCTCCATTTTCAGCCGTTTGCCGTACATAAACTTTTAGTCTGGATCCTACCAATGTTTTCTAAATGAGACCCAGGACTGGGAACCACTGGGCTGTTGGATCATCCAGACACTGATTACTGAAGGAGATCATTACCTGTTTATGTTTGGACTTTATTTCAGCACATGAAGATAAATAAAGGAGAACTAGTTCCAGTAGGAGCTGTGAACTGAGTTCAGAATATTTAGGTAGAGAATTATGAGCATGAATCAGTTGATCTGAACCTCCTTGAACTGAGTTTAGAACCAGTTCTAGTTCAGGGAGAACTGGGTCAGCACTGGTAGAAGGTTCTAGATCTCTTTCTAACCTTCATCAGGTTAGTTATTCTGCAGGATGTCTTTAAAATAGTTCAGTTGATATTCCTGTGAAGAATTTGATGGAATCAGCTGGAAAACAAAGTTCATACATTACATTCTAATAAATCTTTACCTGAGTTGGTCTTTGGACTTGAAGCCTTTAGCTCATATCCTAACATAGAAAGCAAAGCTGAAGTTGGCAGAGTCATGGATGATGGAAATGAACTGGACTTCCTTTCATCCATTTTCAGGGTGTTATGGCTCAGGGTCCTAAAAACTGGAGATCATGCCACAAGGTGCAGAGAGAAACATTGATTTAGGATCAAACACAGGTTAACAAAAACTAGAATGGATGGAAGTGTCTGTATCAGTGGGGTAGAGCAAATGATTGGATGTGTTTGTGTGATCATCAGAGTGATCACCATTTTTCTGATTTCACCATCAAAATGAGGACCGCTTGTTGTAAAGTGAGGACATTTTTCTTCTCCTGTTGAGCTGTTTTGCTAACAGTAAGCTTTAGGGTTAATGTCAGGGTCAGGGCATAGAAAGGGTTAAAATCACTAAAAATCAATGGATGTCAGTACATGATGATAAAGGTGATGATAGTGAGGAAGGTGAAGGTGGTGGTGATGTCCAGCAGCAAAGCAGCACGGCATCCATCAGGGGGGCGGGGAGACAGAGAGAAAAAGTGGCAGGGATTTCTATCTGATCTTTCACCCTCTCCGTAGTTCCCCTGTGGTGCGAGCACGGGGCGGCTGTTACGCGCCTTTAGCGAGCATGCGCATTTCCCGTCACTTGCGCAGTGAATTGTGCCGCCTGCAGTGTGCGAAGATAAAGGGGAAACCGTATCTGATGGGGAAACGCAGCTCGACGTAACACCGGTATTTTCATGTGGAAAACGCTGTTTTGCTGGTTGAGTCCTCCCCACTCTCCATCTCTCTGTGCGTGCTCTATGTTAACACCCGCCAGTGGAAACAGCCACCTACCCAACTGATAGACGAAATCTCACTATACATCAGCCAATCTCATCCTCCTTTCTCTCATGACAAGGCACGCATGAGTCCTATCATACAAAAAGGTTCATTGTGCGACCTGAGTAACGTGCAGTAACAGCATATCGCAATGGTAACTGCATTATAGTTACAGTTAAAGTAATTAGTTAGATTACCCCATTATTAAAAAAAGGTAACGGCGTTAGCATTACTTTCAATACCGCTTCTCCCATCACTGCACACAACCCAGCTCACAAGGCCTATGGCTGAACAAAGGGTAGCTGACATACACTGTGTGCAGAGATCCACCTAGCTATGGGCCGCCATAAAAGTAAAAGAAAAGAAAAAGAAGAACTTTGAAAAACAGACGAAAACATGGAAGATGAAAAGAGGTACAGTCAGTGCAGGTTCATCATCAACAGGATGGCAGCTTCAGTTGTTTTCATTTCACACTCTATGTGATGCAGAGTTTAAAAAAAATCCTGATGTCATTTTTTCCAGTGTTGTGCAGCCTTACTGTGGAATAATTGATCATCTATTTGAATTGATCTGCATTTATCTCTATTTGTTCATCTTTCCTCCAAAGTTCTCCAGAACTTGTCTTTTTGTTTCTGTGAAACTTGAAGAATTTGGCAGAAGAAGCTGAGTTTGTATTGATGGAGCTGCTGGTCGAGCTGACAAAGATAAAGAGCCTAAGTCAGCAGGTCTTTATTGGAGCAGCAGTGTGTTGGCATTAATATTAATGAGAGCTCTTTAACTGCTTCTGTTGGACTGTTCTAACCTGCATTCTTTTGGATCAGCACAATTCTTTCTATTCTTTATCTAGGTTGGATTCCTGCGGTTTATCAAAGATCAGCTGTGCTTCTCTGGTCTCAGCTCTGATGTCAAACCCCTCCCATCTGACAGAACTGGACCTGAAATGGAACTACCTGAAGGAGTCAGATGTTCAGCAGCTGCAGGATCTCGTAGAGAGTCCAGACTACAAACTGCAGACTCTGTAAGTAGATGGTTGGAGTGAGTCCAGCAGCTGTCTGCAGGATTGTTCTAAACCCAGTTAGTCTCAAAGCAATGATCCAGTGTTCCCAGTAAAGCTGCAGCTTCTCAGTGGGAGGAGAATGGTGACAGGCTTCCTGATTGGACACAGAGACACCGATCAGCCAATCAGAGGAGCCAGAAGCTGGTTGTGTTCCTGTGTTTGTGTTGATGTGAAGACGACTGTTGTTGTTGTGTTCATGTCTCTAGGAAATGAAGCTGGATTCCAGCTGCCAGCCTTCCAACATGTCTAGAGACAGTGGTCCTCATCCATCAAACTGTGGGAGCATCAGATCTGATATCAGACTCTTTGTTCTCTCATTTCAACAGGAAACAACTGATCAGTTTCATCTTAGCCACAGCTCTGAGATCAGTCTGAATGCAGCCTGGAAATCAGTGGCTCTGATTTCACAAACTATCATTCCATTTAGTCACCATGTGGTCTTTCTACAGAGCAGAAGCTCTACTGAAGTCCACTCAGCACATCTGGACATGTGTCCTTTTGTCATTAGTCTCATCCAGATGTGTTCAGGGACAGACTCCATGTTTCTTAGTCAGCTGATATTTCAGAAACAGATTAGATGTTAATCAGCAGCCAGAGTTTCTGTGTCTAAATGGAGCAGCAGCTAACATGTAGCAGCAGTAAATCCATCACTACAATGTTTGTGCAGCAATGAAGCCTTCAGGACTCTCAGCAGGTGGTTTCCACTGTGGACTGGAGGGAAACCTGCAGAGGAACCAGACTGGAAGCTAAAAATGTGTTGAGCTGTGTGAGCTTGGAGCTCAGTGTGTTCACTCCAACACGTTAAGATGAGAGCTGAAAGGAAGCAGGCTCTGCTCCACAGCTGCTCTGAACAGGACTGAAGTCCCTGCTGCTCTCAATCCTGGATGTGCTGCATTACTGACTGACAGCTGATGGAGAGAGAGAGGCTGGAAACACTCACTGATCTCCTCTCTTCATCCTTCTTCTCTCTGCAGGTGGTGGAAGGATTGATATTAGTGGAGGAGAGAAGCTGATCTGTGCCCTGATGATCCTCAGAGGTTGAAGCTGCAGCAGTCTGAGTTTAAAGAGACTCTGACAGGATCCTGATGATGAACTCTGAGTTTAGAGATTTGTTTGTTTTCACTCATTTTTTCTCTTTGTTTCCATCATCTCCATAATATTATATTGATATTTTTTCCATCCAAATAAAAATTGAGAATAAAATGATATATAACATGCAACAATATGAAATTAAAAAAGAATCCTGAACAGTTTCTTGTAAACCTAAGAAAGTTGTCTCTCTTTAATTTATTATTCCCACTGAAGTTCCTGGATCAGATCTGAAAAGCTGCTCTGTCTTTCTGATTCTCTGAGAGCTGCAGCAGTTTCAGATGCTGAGGTATTTTTTTGGGGTGTTACCTCTATTTCTCAGCATTCATTCTGTCTCCATGTTCACCTGCTGAAACCTTTAGATCCTGCTGAAAATCTTTGTTGTTCCTGCTGATGAAACACCACTGTGGCTCATTGTTAGAAGGTTAGCTAAAGCAGATGTGGAGCGATCCAGGACCTCAGATAGACTCAGGAAGCCCTTCCAGTCCGGCCCCAGCAGGGTGGAGGAGGGCTGCTGTCATTAAGGAGGAGCTGCTTGGAAGGAAAATAGAATCCAAGGCTGAATCCCATCATTTGGCCTTAACTCTTCCTCACCAACCCTAAGCTAGTGAGCTGTTGGGGATCCTGGTTTTTCTAAGGAGTTGTAGGGGGGGCACCCATTGGTCCTTGGACAGGGATTCTGTTTAGGAGACCGTTTGGAAGCAAAGATGTTAGAGCTGAGCTTGGAAATGTTGGTTTTCTCACTTCCAATGTTTTAATGACTCAATAACCTTTGTAGTGTCTAAATCAAAATGTTCTGATATTTCATGTTGTTTTCCACTGTTAATTATTCTGAAGCAGTTTAAAAACAGCAAAGATAGAATATTTCATCCAATATTTGACTCTACTAGTTTCTATCGTATTCCTGGAGGGTAGCAGCTGGTCTGGATCAGTGATCATCTGGATAATCATCTAGTTTCCAGTCTGGTGTGAAGCTCAGAAATTGCTCATTATTCCATGTTAAATTATTTAAGTTTCAATGTGTCTGCGTGGTTCTCTCAGGCATCTGCGTCGGCAGAACCTTTTCAAAGGGGCACGTGCCCTGTTGTGGATCTGCGGTGATTTCGTAATTAATTAATTTTACACTTTCACAGGTACGCCGCCGCTCTGCTGTGCCCAGAGCTGACAGGAAGTGTATTTCTCACCACCTTCCACGACAGTGCAGATGTTTTGCGGGTGATTGACAGGTGGAGTTGCGGAGGATGGAGATGCACTGGAGAGAGAGAGAGAGAGAAAGAGAGAGACAGATAGAGAGAGAGAGAGAGAGAGAGAAAGAGAGAGAAAGAGAGAGAGAAATGGTGTAAGATATGCCTTCTTTTTCAAACATCAGGATCAGACCCAGCATGGATAAAGACAACTAGGACTCATTTAAACACTTTGTAGAAAAGGCAAATAAGAATAATCTGGGATTCACATGCAAAATAATATAATATAGTGTACTTTTTCTAGATGTTTGTTCATTTGCATAGGTGCTCATAAAAAACACATTGTCAGAAAATAGTTTTTATATATTGAAAAAAATAAAGCTGACCAATAGATATTAGATATTCCATTATTAAACTGGTACATTATTTCTTTAAGTTTGTGACATCATATTGGACCATGCAAAATACAGATTTACCTTCACAATGCCTCAGAAGGGATTTATGTACAAAATGTAAAGATGTTCATGAAATTATGTTTTGATAATGTTTTTTGTTGTTAACATATGTATATATATATATATATATATATATATATATATATATATATATATATATATATATATATATATATATATATATATATATATATATATATGTATTTCAGAATATATATATAATTTTTTAACATACTTTAATAATCCCAGAGGAAAATTTATTCTCTGCATTTAACCCATCCCCTTGGGGAGCAGTGGTCTGCCATTGTTCGTCGCCCGGGGAGCAGTTTGCTGTTAATGGTCTTGCTCAGGGAGTGGTTTTTGATATACATCTATTTTTAATTTACAGCTCCACCTGCCGCCACAGGCCGAGACGATACCCATTGGTTGTTAAAAAAATTAACATCCAGCTCTCCCATTTTCTGGCCATGATATACACGCCTCATAGGATCATTACCATCATGGCCGAAATAGAAATGATAAACACAGAAATGTATGCATTTTTTTCCTTTTACAGTTGCACATTTCAAGTTTTCAGTTTTCAAGTTCATGTTTGATGACAGACATTTAACGAAGATAAATTGTGCCTTCATCAGTAGTGGATTAGAGATATATAGTTAAGTTCACAAGTAGGCCAATTCAATTCAGTTTGATTCAGAAAGACATTTAATGATATGAAAAATAATCAGAGTGTACAGTTTATTTATGACACTTAATTATAATAAATACCTGCTATAAAATATTTGCTTGCATGCTTTTATAAAATAAATATTTGCCCCAACATTTTTTTGCTTGCGTGCTTTGCATGCTGACATTTTATTTGGTGCCCCTGTATAGTATTGGGTCAGCTGACCCCCCTGCTCTCAGGGTACTCCAGCTTCCTCCCACAGTCCAACTAATGACTGTTAGGCTGTTTACTGTTTCTAAGTTGCCCTTGAGGTGTGAGTGTGTGTGTGCATGGTTGTGTGTCTCTGTGTTGCCCTGCTATGGATGACCTGTCCAGGACAGATGGATCCTATTAAATGGATCTAAAAAATGCAAATAAAAAAGAAAACCTCAAAAAAATAAAAAAACTTGAACCATTTAAGCTCATTTTATTGGAAAGTAGATCAAACATTTTAATTGAAATACAGCGAGTTTTATATCAAGTTCAAATGATGGGTATTAGTGTTATATTTATTTGGGTTCCAGCACATATAGGGATTAAAAGAAATTAAATTGCAGACAAGATTGCTAAGAAGGCATCACAAAATAAAACTATTGATATGATGATTAACATAACAAAGACAGAAATTAAAAGTATCCTTAAACAAAGGATGAAGGAACAGTGGCAAAAACAATAGAAGAAGAAAGGAGAGGAAGATGGTTTTGTAGGATTCAGCGGAAAGTCGGAAAAATTAGGAGAGCAGAAGGAAGCAGAAGAGAGGAAACAGTTATTTCAAGACTTAGATTTGGACATACAGGATTAAATAGCACATTATTAAAAATAAGGAAATGTATATCAGGCAAATGTAAATTTTGTGTGTGTTGTTCTTTGTTTCTATATAAGAGACGAGGCGTGTAAGCTTGTTCTGTATATTTATTTCAAACCTCACAGAACCATTCAGTAGCAAGCTACATTCTGAATAGGGTGACCACCTGCTAATAAGCCCAAGGGGGGACAAGGGGTATGTTTCTGAGGGACAAATTGGGACACTGCTTGGTGTAGCGGTGCCCCCACCTCACAGGCAGACTCACTGATAGGGGTTTACACATTTCTAGCACATACCACCTTACATGGTATATTAATAATGCCCTATTCCCATAAACATGTGTAAATGCTGATGTATGCTCATGAATAGGCCGACCAATGTGTATTTCTTTCTGAATAAAGATTCATAATACTTTGATCATTCAATGAACAGATGCACTTCCAATTCCGATTTACTTTAGCTATTCAATTTTATTTATTTTTTATTACAATTTATTCACTTTAAATAAATTATAATTTGAAATTAAAGGATTAACATTAATTGTAGTTGCTCTACACCACAGGAACTGTAAAAAAAAAAAGGCTTAACTAACGACTCCAGAGGTTCACAGAATGAGAAGGGGGAGGAAGGATGGTGAACTTGGATGTTGGTAAAAGCAGGAACAGGAAAAAAAAAAACTGTTCAGTGTTCTGGGGACACCTTTAGGACTTTGGGGTCACCTTTAGGACTCAAACCTTTTCACCAGCATCTGAATAAAATAAGAAAGAAAGATAAGAGACAGAATTAATTTATGATAAGCTTCCAAATGGTTTTCCAGTATAGACAGAGGAGTGCAAACCCATCACCATCACACTACAAAACAATACAAAAAGGTGCCAAAATACAATCCTATGCAAAACAATGACATATTTTGATCTAAAAGGCTACTGTTTCCTAAAAGTGACACATTTGCACCCCTGTAGACAGCCCACCAATGTTCAAAATCAAGACGTTTAAAAATTGACTTCAAACATTTAATCTCATTAATTTGGGCTTTCACTGCCATATGCTGTCATATGAGAGTAAGCACAACTTGACGACCATAAGTTTTTTCATATTTCTTGCATTGATTATGCGTGACACGGTCTCAATTTGCGGGACGAATGAATTGGGCTTCAAACGCTGTGCGCGCACGCGCTACGCGGGACGGGTGGTCACCCTAATTCTGAACCGCCTCTCGTTCTCGCCTCCAACCCATGACACCACTCTCCCCGTAGCATGCTGGGTGTTGGAGTTTAAGAGCTTTCCAGCTCATAACATCACATCCCTTCTCCTATAAGAGATAATATTGAACATATAAGAAGAAGCCATTTTCTGTAAACAACTTTTCACTTTAAACCATTTTTTAACGAACATTTTTAAGTGCCTCTATGCATCCAAACACTAACCTGAAACAATATCAACATTAACTTCTATCATTCCAACATTTCACCAGTTCCTTTTCCTTCAAATAGGACAAACAAAAACATAGTCCTTAAAGTAAGTTGCACTACTAAAGCAACCCCTCAGCAACTCTCAATTAACTTCTTAGGAGGGTTAATCTGTCTCTTAGGCCTAGCCAGCCTTTCAGGAGTCACTGATGTAGACACATGGGAAGGTGTCACATCCGCTGGTGATGGCATCAGTCCACTGCTAACCAACCCTCATGATTCTGCTGAATCCTGAGCTGCCATGTCAGTTCCAGTCATCTGTAGTTGAAGATCCGTGCGATTCCTCCTTAGAGATGTTCCATTCTCCACTTGCATCTTAAGGGAGCGTGGTACAACCCTGTGATGCCGAGTTCTGTCCTATTAATATTGTTTATTTTCCACGGGCCCTGTGTGGCGTTCTCTAGGGGTCAAAGGTCAAGTGCTGTGCGGCTTTCTGTCCGTTTAATGCTTAGTTCTGTCCCCTGAATGAGCATTTTAAAAAATCAGGGGCCCTACAGGTGGTTGTGTGGAGGTCAGACGGTGTGCTCAGCCCGTCTGCAGGCGGGCCCGCGGTGCTCTGTCTCTGGGGAGAGGATCTCCATGGGCCCGGTCCCTGGTTCCAGAGCCTGGTTCTGGACCATGGGCCCGGTCCATGGGCCTGTGGCGGGCCCTTGGTGCTCTGTCTCTGGGGAGAGGAGCTCCATGGGCCCGGTCCATGGGCCTGTAGCGGGCCCTTGGTGCTCTGTCTCTGGGGAGAGGAGCTCCATGGGCCCGGTCCATGGGCCTGTGGCGGGCCCTTGGTGCTCTTTCTCTGGGGAGAGGAGCTCCATGGGCCCGGTCCCTGGTTCTGGAGCCTGGTTCTGGACCCAGGCCATGCTCACAACTGTCCCCAGGTCCCCACACATGTCCCTGGGTGGTTCAGAACCGGGCCCCAGGGTGTTA